TGTATGTCGCACACTAATAATGTAATATAGTGATATTATTTAAAATACTGTTTTTTCCATCAGAGACGATGAACATAAGAATATTACACAGATTACAGAACACTGTAGCCATAACAGATTTCTGGTAGGATCAAGATGTTCCAAGTAGTATACGCCTAAGTATATTGCAAGAATTGATGAATTTGGTATAAAGAAGCAAGCCGTGTAGGTGTTGAGTGTTATAAATATAAAAACATTTGGTCTAATTTGGTTAAGAAGGACCAAAAAATATTATATTATAATCTATGCTATACTCTCCCAGTTATTACTAATACCTATTTATTGTATGTCTGTAAATATAGTTGTGCATTATTCGAATAAAGCGTTAACTAAATAATCATCTAGATAACATAATATTATTCGAGTAAAAGTTATTCGAATCATTTCAAAAATAATTATTCGAATAACATTTCATTCGAATAATTTTAGAAATAATTATTTAAATAATTCCCAATTCAATTATTCAAATAAAAAGTTATTCGAATAATTTCAAATTTAATTATTCGAATAATTTTTAAATAGTTTGTTTGTGCTCTTTTCGAGTAAATTATATTTAAAAATATTGTTCCGTATAAATCTAATAGATTCTATATTTAAAATACGTATAACAAAACAGTAAATATAGGAAGACAATTTTTTTATTCGAATACAAATTTGCACAACTCTGATTATGGGAAAACACAATTTTTTTATTTATTTTATACTCTCTACATATACTGTGTAGTAGGTTAGTAATATAATACAAATATATTTAATATATTGCATTAAAAGTTAAAACAGCTTAAACCACAAAAATCAAACTTGTTTTTTTTTTACATTAAACATTTTAAAATAGTAAAATATTTCTAACTCAATCTCAACACTGACAAAATGTAATGTAAAAAGAAACGTATTTACTATAGGAACACTATGATAATACAATAAAATATGTATTTAATTGGAACGGTACTAAATAAAAACAGTTGTGCCAACAAAATGTTTAGTAATTATAGCATTTAAATAGTAATTTATTACATGGTGGTTGCCTTTAAGACGGATAGTTATTATTATATATATACATACAATAAAATAAAAAATAGTGCGTTGCCACCGTGTCATCGACCGCTCGTATATTGGGCAATGACTAATGATTATTTACGCGTTAAGATAAATACTTTTCTCGGGATCTTGGCGTTAGATCAATTAATATACACCTTACATACTTAGCGCGAGGACATATATAAAGTTTAAGATATTGCCGTTGTTTGCCGTGTCTAATGCGTGCGGTTCGTCGCTAAAATATTGTACATAAGTATACAATAATAGAATAGCGCAGCGTAATGCTTTAAATAGGTACTAATATTGTTCATACATTAGAGTCTTTCTCATATATTATAATGGATGCATATTGTATATATTATGTCTATAGTAGTAGATAGGTAACAGACGGCTGAAAGTTTAAAAAAAACAAAAAAAACATAATATGAAAAATCGCCTTAAACCCATCACGGTGTATATATATATAAGAAAACATACAATTTACACATACTAAACGGATTTGACGACATGTATTAATATACATATATTGTTGCGCGTTTAGACATAATAATAATATTATATTTATAATATGCAACGCGGTGTCAGAATGACGAAGATGTTTTTTTTTTCCATATATAATATGTATTACAATATCTTTTGTATACTCTTACATTTATAAAATATTATGTATTTTTCACCTTTTACCGAATATTTTTATTTTATTTCATTTTATTAACCTCAGCGGCTCGGTTATGATATACAAAAATGCAACTCACAATATAATGTATATTTGTGTAAAAAGGACTGCGGTTCTTTTTGTGTGTCGATGCGCCTTGATGTTATACATATATATATATCATACATATACATATATACATTATACATATATATATTTATTTTATTATAAGAAGATGCAAGCACACGCAATGTGACAACGAATTATTTATCGTGAACCACATATAGGTACTTATATATATATATATTTTTGCGAACATCTGCTGCTGCTGCTGGCGGTGGTGCTATACTTAAGCGGCCACTACCGTTGGCCAGGGTGTTTTTCTATTATTATTATTAAGTATATATATATTTTTTATTACAAAATGCATGTCAGCGCAATGGTAACAGCATTCTCGTGCCCGCGGCTTTATTATACATATTATATTTTATAAAATATAACTATAATAAAAATGTAACACACACACATAATACCATCGAAATGGCTGTAAGTGTATTATATACTCCTACATGTATGATGTCTAAATTCAAAAGCACCTATAGGTACACGTGTTCGAGGCTCGAGACTATATTATAGCGAGGTACGACCGGTATAGGTATAATATTATATAATATAGATAATAGAAATTGAAAACACATTAAAAAAAAAAACGCCTTTTAAATATATTATGATATTTCTGCACGGCGCCATTGCATTGTTTAATATATTCTAACAATAACATACACATCAACATGTTTACATACAATAGGGTGTATAATTTAAAACGTCTTCATCATCATATTATATGGGCAGAATATTAAGCAAAATTCGAATAAAAGGTTACCCAAATAATTATCTAGATAACACATTATTCGAGTAAAAGTTATTCGAATAATTTAAAAAATAATTATTCGAGTAACATTTCATTCGAATAATTTTAGAAATAATTATTTGAATAATTTCCAATTAAATTATTCGAATAAAAAGTTATTCGAATAATACCAAACTTAATTATTCGAATAATTTTTAAATAGTTTGTTTGTGCTTTTTTGAGTAATAATGATATTTGAAAATATTGTTTCATATAAATCTAATAGATGCTACATTAAAAAAAAAAATTATCTTTTATTTGAATTTGAATTTGTACAAATCTGATTATGGGAACCTACTACCATTCGAATACACTTTTATATTATATTATTGCTATATTCTTTCAATTAGTTGGCATTGTAGAAAACGCTTCCAAGAATATCATTCAAGTCGAATATTGCCCATCTTTTATACCGTTTGTCTACGCCTAATAATTATTAAACATATTAAACCTATACTTCAAATAATATCTATTATTTAATTATTATTATTTGGTATATTATATTATGCTATTAAACCGCCGCTGTTGTAGTTAATGGCAGATAATTGTGTATGTTATTAAGTATAATTGTTTTAGTCCTAAATTACGATGATTTACCTAAATAATAACGTTTAACAAAAAAATAGTAATCTATCATATTATACTATAATAATATACCATCGTGGGAAACATAGTATATATACCTACCTACCTATATGGACTATGATGGTATAATATTTAATTCTACCTTATTTTGTAGTCATTTAATAGGGTCCAAGGGTAAAAGCACTTGAGAGACATTTTTCCTAGAATTTTTTTCATTGCAGATATGATAAATATCATACTATTCTTTCCTATAAATAAACAACTAGTACTATACCTATACATACACACACAAAAGTCAAATGACTTAATATAAAGTACTATAATAGCAGTTTACCTACACATAATAGGTAACATTATATTGTTTAGGTAAATATTATTATAAACCTATTATAAGCGGTGTAGTATAAAGAAAAAAAACCGAAATTATAACCTAATATTATGCGTGTATATGTACCTACATAGGTACACATAATTTTTTGTGGCGGTTATTATGAAAAGAGCGTTTTAGTCATTATACACATAGGTAGGTAGGTAACTGATAAAAACGGTACCTACCGTTTTACCTTACACGAATGGGCGTCTTGTAAAAAACGTACAAAGATTATAATAGGTAGGTATGTAATACATAATAGTTGGGTTGTGTATGAAAAGACAACAAAATATTATATAAGAACCGGACGGCTTAAAATATATTTTCACAACAATAACGACGGGTAGATGTCGTTTAATAATATTTGTTTGATTTACAATTTTGCGCCTGTAATTTTTATCATATTATCTTAATGAATAGACAAAAGATCTATCTCGCCATAAACAGTCTATACATTGTGTTCTAGTCTTTAGTTTTAGTATTGTTTTCCCTTGCTCTATTGTAGGTTAGGTTAGGTACATTTCTGGTTGTTGGAATTACTATAAATAAATAGTTGGACCAACTGTAAATTTTTAGTCGGCCAAACTAAATTAATACAGCTGTCACTCTAACTAAAAATATACAGTTGGTCCAACTATGTATTTTTTCCGGTCTAATATGTAAATACCTACAACAGAGCAAGGGAAAACTGTTGGCCAAACCAAAATTAATACTTATATAAGTTACAGTTGCATTAACTAAAAAGTGTACAGCTGTTGGTACCAACTATTTATTTAGTCATTCCAACAGCTAGAAAATGTGTATTGTGTGTCTGTAATTTTTATTTTGGACCAACTATATGTATTTTTTCCCATTCGAGACACGTGTACGCGTTTTACAATGTAAGTATTAAAGCCCTTAACGGTCTCACAAGTCCACAAAATGTATTAGTTATATATGCTTGTGTATGGTACTACTATAATCGTCTGCTGTACATATCCGTGTCAATATTGGTATAAAACATTCGTCAATACATGTAACCGGCGGTTGGTCGCGGTCTTGGCAGAGAGGGAAAAGACAAAAATATTACACACACACACACACAGAACAATAATATTGTTAATAATAGGCAAGGGAGGAGGGAGGGGGAATAAAAAAAAATATATAACAATAATATTGAAAAGGGGGCAGCAGCAGCAGCTGCGGCGGCGGCGGCCGCGACAAAAATATGGTGACTGGGCGGGCGACGCGACGCGACGGATTGACGGTGCGCGCGCATCCGTTTGGGCCGGGGGCGTGGCTCTCGCCCGATTGGACGGAGGCGGTCGTTCGGGACGGTGGCCAACGCCGACGCCGCCGGAACCGATCACCCGAGCACCCGGAACGCGTCGCTACCGTCCTTCAGTCTTCTGACATTTCTCGTGTTGACAACACGTGCGCATCCGCGATCCGATCACGACAACCTTCTGTTTTGATATTAACGTTTTTTATTTTAGTATTTTGTATTTTGTTTCGGAGTGTGCGTTTTGGTGATTTTTTTTTTTTACCGTCACTCTGCGTTTTATTATTTATTTATTTACACGTAAATAAATATTACACCGGTGTGTAGTAATAATAGTGTATATCGCGCGTTCACGATGGTGACGAAATCGTTGAACGGTCCGAGTTTCACCATCAACCACATACTTGGCCGCCTGGACGTGGACGACGAACGGGACGACATCAAGAGTCCCGGCCCGTCGACGTCGCGGTCGTACACCACCGGCAGCGAGGCCGGTAGCGACTGCAGCGGCGACGATTGCCTGTGCGCGCCCGTCGACTACAGCACCAGGCCCGGCAGTCCGGACAAAAAGACCACGGACGACGAAGACGACGGTGCCGTGACCGGGGCGGCTGCGGCTTCGACGGACGGCGAAACGGCCGCCGACGGCAAGGACGTGAAAAAGACCAAAGAACAACAGCAACAGGACGACAAGAACAAAAAGCCCAACTACAGCTACAACGCGCTGATCATGATGGCCATTTCCGAGAGCCCGCAAAAGCGGTTGACCCTGAGCGGCATTTACGAGTACATCATGACCAAGTTTCCGTTTTACCGGATGAACACGCCCGCGTGGCAAAACAGCATCCGGCACAATCTGTCGTTGAACAAGTGTTTCGTGAAAATCCCCCGGAGCTTCGACGACCCGGGCAAGGGCAACTACTGGATGATCGACCCGAACAGCAGCGACGTGTACATCGGCGGCACCACCGGCAAGTTGCGCCGGCGGTCCACGCAATCGTCCCGGCACAGGATAGCGTACAGGCCGCCGATGCAGCCGCTGCCGCCGCATCACCCACACGCCGCAGCCGCCGCCGCCGCCTTCTATCACCATCACCGCGGTGCCGGAGTGCCGCCGCCGCCGCCCAGCTCGGCCGTGCCTCACCATCCCGCTTGGTCGGCCGATTACGCCGCGGCCGCGGCCGCCGCCGCCGGTTTCGACTACCTGCACCAATACTTTTGGCCGCCAGCGGCCGCCGCCTACCAACAACAACAACAACAGCAACAGCAGCATCATCAACATCAACAACAGCAACACCATCATCAACAACAGTTATCGCCCGCGGCTCCCGCGGTAGCCACCTCGACCGGATACTCGATAAGTCAACTGTTGAGGCCCACGTTACAGGTGCCGCCCAAGAGGCCCACCGCCGTCATGCACCCGGCGGCCGCGGCCGCGGCGGCCCTCCTCCAAGTGTCCATGACCCGACACCAGTGACGTATGTAAAATTCCAGAAAAATTGCATACTTATTATATTTGTCGTCTAAGTACACAAAGTTACCTATTTTTTTTTCTTGTAAATAATGTGGAAAATGCCTTAGTTTTCTCCCTTCGGGTCTCCGGCCAATACTTTTTTTTTAAAAATTATTTTTACATGATCTCTAAAGACTAGCTGTTGTTAAAAAACGCCTAAAACTTGAGCAAAGTTATTAAAAATTGTTTCCTTTCAAAAAAAAAAAATGTTTGGGCACTCCATTCTAGTCAAACGCGCCATTCGTGTCCAGTATTTTTATAATATGTTCATGCGCTATTCAATACTATTATGATGTAAAAAAAAAAAAATGTGTTTCCTATAATTTAATAATGTACAGCGCGCGTTCGCATCACAAGTGCCTTGAGAAAATAATTAAAATGATAATATTACCTATTATAAAGTACTAGACGTTTTAGGTTAATGTATTGTTATCAATAATTTTGTTTTTTGTTTTGGAAACAAACTTAGTATTTTATAATGTATAATAATTATTGTATTATCCACTCACGAATATTATTATAATGTAATACAGCCGGTCTGTATAAATAAATATAAATATATAAATGATTATTATATTATTAATTGTATAGTATTTTTATTTGAATGTTGTCGTTATATATATGATAATTGAATACACATATTATTATTATGATAATAAACGATATTTTAAATTATTACAATAAAAAAATGAATTTAATTATTTACATCGATTGTTTTACCTGAGTCGCCTACATCATAATATTATTATAATATGTGTTGACTAGCATATCCAATTGGATTATAAAACTTATAATAATTGTCAACTTCAACAAATCATATGATCTATGACTGCCGGTGGACCTGCTCAGCTTTAAACAGTCATGAATGGACTTGAGCTAAACGGATAACAATAACATATGAATTTGGAAGCTAAATAGAGCTATTATTGTGGTAAATTGTGTTTTATTTTTTATTAAACTGCATCCGTGAGACGACGACACGTTATAAAACAACTTGAGAGTGTATTCACAGTGAATGTAATATAATCAAATATTTTTATTAAGGACATAAACTATGTCTATGCCAGTTGTTTTGAAAATGGTATTAGTTCTTTACTTTTAAACCTATTGCTGGAAAACTATTATTACGGTACAAATTCAATATTACATTAATTAAATATATCTGTTCAAGAAAACTAACTAGAAATGAAAGGGTTTTTTTTAAGATTTCTATGTTAAATCTGGGGCTGACAGTGTGTATGAAACTATACACAGTACATTATTATGGTCTTAAATATATTATTTACATTTTATCTTAAACACTACACTATTATTTTAAATCCATTAATCAAGTGTATGATAACAGCTATAATACAACAATCAAAATGACTTGTTGACTATTTGTTTGAGTTGTTTCTTACAATATGTTAACATAGTACAATTAGACATTTGTGTGTGAAATCTATTCTATTAATAATATATAGACATGTATAATAATACCGATAGCTAACGGTGCATTGTACTTGGTTTGTTTGTACAATAATTATTATTATTATTATCTTATCAACAAAATGCATGCTAATACAAATGTAATATGTCTAAGGAAATATGACAACAATTATTATTGCATAATCTATTATTTTGTAAACATTAAACGGTTTAATGTGCCTCGGTCATATTATTATTATTGTTATAAATTATAATCAAATGGCATTTCAACGAAAATACAATTAACTCTCGTTTGTTTACACTTGTAATACATATTATATTATACTATCCAAAGTCTTTAATAATAATTTACTTATCGGATAGGCGAAAATGCACTTGGTTGGGAATATTAACAGTAATAATCAAAATATTAGTAATATGGTCTAGTATTAAAATTTAATTACTATTATTGTAAGTACCAAAAACAAATAACCGACAAGGATGTAGGTATATAAATCCTATACATATACATTTACCAATTTTATTATTTACTATAGGTAATACAATATTCAATAAGTTGAGAAAGATAGTTATTTATTCTGACTGCGTTCGTCATCGCCCATTGGCTTATCAAATTCATATTTATTTGTTCGCTATCTCTGTTGTATTAAAAAAAAAAATCTTTTGGAATGTCTAAGTATTATTAAATGTATTGTAGAGGCTTTAGGGCGGCCGGCGACCACACACTGAAGTCAGTGTGTGTTGTGTGATATCTTGTCAATAAACGAGAACGGTCAGCTTAAAAGGGTTGGTACGGATGTTTATAAAAAAAACATGATCAACAGAAAATGCAATGTGATGATGACACCAGCTAAGCGCGATGATTCAATGGAGACTAAAAAAATCCTTTACAATAAACTATAACTATTATATGAATGAGGACATAATTTATTTGTGAAGCGACAAAACAAGTCTGGTTGTCGGTGTTTGATTAAAAAGGATTTTATTTGTGTTAATGTTTCCCGGATGGGTGACCATCGTATTACATTATATAGTATACTTACACTGACCACCGTCCACGCCCTGTCCAACAAAACAGCCTAATTGATAAAAAAAAAGCAAACATAGGTCTTGTACGGCCGACTGGATTGGTTGGTTCCATCGTAACGGAAGTAATGTTTTCCTACTTTATCCACTCTGGAACTTGCTTTGCCCAGAACTAGGGTGTTGGTATTCGGGTGCATCATATAATATATGAGTTGCTTGATATTCAGATAATAACTGAACTTTGATTCAACAGGTCGGGAAAATACTTGTGCGACTAGCGACCCTTTACCGTATACCACACCCCTCATGATGATAGCAATTTCCTCCCCTCGGTCTATTTGCTTTTATATATTTGGCTTTAAACGTTTTCGCTCATTTAGCCCGCGCAAATACCGCAGAACAAAAGGGGGCGTGATGTGACGACGTTTGAGGGTTGTTTTTCTTTCACGGTGCTTAAATAAAGGTACCGTCTGCTCGGGCCATGGTGTAGTAAAAGAAATGCACATATATACAATCTAATCGCTTATACCAATATACTTAGATGATTCACATAACTATTTGCGACATATAAACGTTATCTGGATAATCATTTGGATAACACACATTATTCGAGTAAAAGTTAATCGGATAATTTCAAACATAGCTATTCGAATACAAATCGTAATTATCCAATACAATCAGAATTTGCACAAGTCTGAGTATGAGAATCTGGATTAAGTTTGTTCGCATAACGTTTAAACTATATATGGTGTATCATATGATGGATCTTTTTAAACTTGTCAATTTATTTGTGGCTTTATTACAAGAGGTACACGTGTAAGGTACAATTTGTTTGTTTAATAATAATTATAGTTCGGCGGTGAAAACGTGCAAATATTTGTATTTGATCGACAACGGAAATCCGTTAATTGATCGCCGTTGGTTGAACACCACCATTAGGGTCGTACAATAGCCGATATTATATCAATGGCAGTATAGACTGTATTTCTATAGAGAGGTACACGGGTAAACAATAAACCATTTTAATTATACTCTGATCGAAAAGATAAAAAAAAAGGGTTGAAGAGAACCGTGTGTTTACATAATATTGTAATCGTTTATTGGGCCGTTAAATCGGATAGTATAACTACCATTAATATGAGAGTGTTGGACTGACGCATGTTATGAAAACCGTTTAGACAACAGGGCAAACTAGTTAACTAGGCAGCGTTTAACGGTTTGTTTGGTGAAATTGTCATATTAATTAACAATACCTACACGATACACTGTTTTCTTACTTTTAACTACCTATACAAGATGGACGACATATTATAATATAGGTGCCGTATACAGACACGGAATACTATAATATGCATATTTTAAATTGGGGTCTTGGCGTTGAATAATTTAGATGTAACCTCGATGCTATAATGGCCGAAAGGGGTAACTATAAATGTACACGGTGGCATTCCGTGTCCGAATGAATATACTCTATTAGGTGTATACATTTCGGTATAAAGGGGAACGTGCGCTGCTGTGCAATGCCATCGTTCGACACACCACGCCCCTTGTAAGCCTAATACATGTGGAGGAGCATGTTTCCTTCATACATAACCGGCCGTGTTAGCCTACACACACATTTCTGTGACAGAAATGAATGTAATCGCAGAGACTATACGGGGTGATCAACTCAACCTTAAGACACTCATTTCCTATCCTATCCTCGATACTTGTAGTCCAAGAACCTTTGGAACTATCATAAGCTTTATAGTTATCAATGTATTTTCTTAAAATCGGCTAGCACCGTGGTTGTACAAGGATTCTTCCCCAAAGGCCAAAAGTCTATATGATATGAGTAACTTGTAATCGAACTTTATCTAAATAATCATCTGGATAATACGTTATTCGAGTGACAGTTATTCGAATAACTTTCCGTTCGAATAATTTCAAACATAATTGTTTGAATAATTACAAAAACAATTATTCGAATAGCGTTTAATTCGGACAAATTGAAAAATAATTATTATTCGGATAAGAATTTGCACAATAATATTACTATAGCGTTTAGGCAACGTTGCCATAACCGTATGGATACCCTTCTACGAATAGAGCTGTTATTCTTTATACCATTTCTTTTACAAGTTATAAATATATTGAAGAAACCGGTTAGAATTCAATTTGTACCTATTTATTTCTATGGCATATATATGTATTATATAATTTATAGGTAAGGGTTGCACGCGCGCATTACTGAAAACGAGAGTACCCATACTTATCCCGTTGGGCCATGTTAGCGCATATTATATAATATATGTATACAATATATATATAGTGGCCACCGCGGTGTTTTAATAATAATATGCGATCGACGGTCAACCCTTGTGTGTGCGTTTAGAAACGGAATTTTACTGCTTATGGTATATCCCTTTTTTTTTCTCCACCCTTTACAATATGTCCTTAAGTGTATATATATTTTTTTTTCTACTTACTTGGCGACCACCACCGCACCGGAACGTGTAAATCACCTATACATGTAGGACTCGCGGTGGTGGTCTATTTTATATATATATATATAATATGTTTTTAGGACTAAAGGCGAATGCGTAATGTGTATAATAACAATAATAATATACATCAGAAGCTATCACGCAGCGCAACTGGACGGGTTGGATGGTGAAAAAAAAAGGATTGTCCGGCAAATTATACGCTCTTTTAAACGTTCCACTCCCGGTCGTTAAGTTCCACTGGGTGTCTTTTTTTTGTTCCCTATTATTTTCATTGTGTCCACTATAGATAGATCCCATTTCAATGTTATTTTACTCCTGTAGGGACACGGACAGTTATACGACGCAACCGTAATTTTCTTCTTCTCCTCCCCCTCCTCCTTCTTGTGTTGTATAATTATATATATATATATTTGAATTTTTTTTTTTTAACCCTTAGCACGCGGTTGCAGTTAAATACGGGCTACCGATGACGCGGGTTATCCGTGCACGCGTTAAATAGTAATATAATAAAAATATACTGTTAATACACGTGTGTACGATTTTTGAAAAAATACAAATTCCACAACCCCTTTTGTGTGTGTGTGTGTAC